TAACTTAGGCAATACCTGACAAGACCATGAACTTTAGAGTTTTAGAACTGACTGCCTGCCAAGGAGGAGGGAAAATTAAGGTGTTTTTTTTTTTCCCCATTTTTGGTTAATAATTTGTTTTCTGCTAAAATAGTCCTTCAAATACAGATCTCTTATGGCCTTCAGTTATCCCAACAAAATCATTCTCTAAAGATTTAAATCAACTCCTGTGTAAAGGTTCAGTCCTTTGCCTCCTATGGAAGGGCTTGAGTGGAGAAAGTCAAATGTAGATCCCTGGAAAGGGGATTCCCATTGGTATGGATTCCCATGGCACTTGGGCTTCAGTCAGAAGCAGGGCTGTTAGTAAAGGGAGTGGAGGAGGCCCCACCATCCACTTGAGTGAGTGATGCCTGGGGAGAGACCAGATCATCTGTCTCACTGTGTGAATCCAGCCCTCTCAACGCAGGAGTCTGCAGGAGCATGGCTGTAGCTTGTCCATGTGGAATCTGTGAGTAATGAGAGATTTGTGTCATGTTCTTGGCTTTCATTTCCCATCTAGTATTCCAGGAACTTCAAGAATAGATGTGAGCAGGAAAAATGTGCCGTGCCGGAATATAACTACATCATAGCCATTCAACCATACCCTAGTGTTGTGTTCCCCTTTAATCACTAAGATAATGATCTAAGAATCACAGGTGCATTTTTAAATTTTTAAACATATAACCTAGAAATCAGTTATCCAGATAAGCATTTTAAATTCACTTGTTTTGGTTGGATTTAGGGCCATTATCACTCCTTATGAAAAGGAAGAAAACCCAGAAACTTGCTATTCAGAAGGCTATGACAAATGCATTCCAGAAACTGCAGATTGTGGTTTTAGGTAAGACTTTTTTTGACTGTCCTTATAGTACTTCAGTTTCAATGAGCAATTAAACTTATTTGAAAAGTTAATTGGATGAAAATAATGGTTATCTAAAACACTACATAGGGATTTCCGTGGTGGTCTAGTGGCTAAGACTCTGTGCTCCCAATATAGGGGGCCTGGGTTTGATCCCTCATCAGGGAAGTAGCATGTGGCTCCCACATGCTACAACTAAAGATCCTGCATGCCACAACTAAGACCTAGCACAGCCAAGTAAATAGATAAATAAAAAGTAAAAAAAAAAAATGTTTAAAAATAAATAAAACACTACATATTCTTTCATTTACCAAATGCTTGCACAGCAACAGTCTCACATTTGTTCTTTGTGGCATTTATGAGAAAAATGACACAAATATTATTGTCCCCACTGTTTAGATGTACACTGAGTTGCCTCAGTTCATACAGAAAGTGTTTGATCCCTTTCTTGTTTCTCGATTGCTGACTTATCATACGGAATAGTATGGTGACTGTAAGCCTTGGACACCTGTGTTTGAGTCCTGACTTTGTCTCTTAGATTTTTGTTGTTGTTGCAATTTTAGGTTTTCTAGCCAGAGAGATTTGAAGTTATTAAATATCCCTAAGCTGCAATTTCTTTATCTATAAATAGGGTTAGTAATTCAGCTTACCTTGTGGGGCATATTGTAAGAGTAAATAAGATGGTGAATGTAAAAGTCTTAGAACCATGCCTGGAACATAGTAAGCAGACAAAATATTTCGATGATGATTATTATCATTGTTTTCTTGAAGAATTGATTAGATTATGTTTTTGGAATCAATTTCAGTTTTCATTTCTGATATATTGGGTGAATACGATTCTTATATACATTTTTTGTGAGCCTTGAATGTGATCATGCTATTGAATAGCTTGATTATGTATCCTATTGAGTTATATAGGGTGAAAATGTCACAGGCTGTGCCCAAAGGAAACTTCATGGTTGGTAGATCCCTGGAACAGAATTGCTCCCCTGTTTCACAGCCCTGCGGGCTTAGGGACTGAGAAATGCCAGCTAAGTTGTCAGAGACCTTATTTGCTTGTCAGAGTTGACCTTGGACTGGTGTCAGCCTTCCAGCCTGGACAGTCGTTACAGTGAAGTTTGACTTCCCTAGTCACCAGGCAGGATGTCCATGAGCTGTCAATTCCAGTAACAACCTTTGAGAACCAAACTAACTGTCTAGGTTGTTTGCCTATCCCTAATATGCAAATCGGAGAAGGCAATGGCAGCCCACTCCAGTGCTCTTGCCTGGAGGGTCCCGTGGACAGAGGAGCCTGGTGGGCTGCAGTCCATGGGGTCGCGAAGGGTCGGACGTGACTGAGCGACTTCATTCACTTTTCACTTTCATGTGTTGGAGAAGGAAATCGCAACCCACTCCAGTGTTCTTGCCTGGAGAATCCCAGGGACGGGGGAAGCCTGGTGGGCTGCCCTCTATGGGGTTGCACAGAGTCAGACAACTGAAGCGACTTAGCAGCAGCAGCAGCAATATGCAAATGGTGTTCCTTATATGCACTCAAAATTCCTTAAACCGAAAAGCCTGGTGGCTGTAGTTTGCCTTGAGGGAAGCTGTGTAGTCCAAAAGGTACATAGGCCAGTAAAATTCTCTCTCCAAAGCTTTGTTCATTGTATCTGGTAGAATTTTGGTCCCAAGTAGTAGACATTTGCCTCACTTCTAATATGACGTTTCCTGTATAGTCCAGTGGTATCTATCCGCGGTTTGAATTCACTTTGACCCCTCCTTAGTGCCTTCCTATTTAATCATATTGTGATTGAACATTTTTGTTTCCACAGCTTTTACTGCCTCATTCCTTAGTTCTTATTTCTAAGATCATAAAGGTTTTTGAACCAAAGTTGATACTTCTCTTACATATTTTTTCACAAATAGTAATGATATGTGTTGGATGTGGGAACTGCTAGGAAAATGCTCTTGTTTTCTGCTTTTAGAAATAAAAAGAAATAAAAAGAATGTCTAATTATTGGATGCTACCATTGTGCACAGGAAGTTTTGGAACAAAATTTCTGAATTGATATTTGTTAACTCTTATTTCAGAAAGTGGCAAAATAGCTGTGGCGTATAGATCCTGTGAAGAGGTCACAGATGCTGGAACTGAAGAGGAACTACAGGATTTAATTCAAGTATGTGGAGAGAAAGACTCAAGGGATACAAAGCCAGGGTAGCCGTAATTCAAAACAACCAGAAGATTCTTGGCATGTCTGCTCAGCTCCATCCTCCTTAGGAAATGTGAAACTCTGAAACTGCTTTTGAAGCAGGGAGTTTCTAGGACTTTTCCTGATGTCTGAGCCTTCTCTCTGACCCCTTATTTGAGATTTGGAGAGCAGGGTTGAGGACCATGAGGTACTTGTACAGTTGTGGACACAGGAGAAGACACAGGCCTCTTAGAACTCCCCTCAAACAGAATTGCGGGCATTTGGAAACAAAGTAATTATGGCTTTAATTTGTTGTGATTATGCTACAGTGTGTGGCAACTGTATTAATGTATTAATGCCTTTCAAATAACGTGTTTTACCCAGATCTCATATGTATTTTGTGTGAAATATTTTGCTGAAGGACCTTTCTGTAAAGCAGTTATATGAATGCCTCAAATCAGGGATTAAGTTGTCAAAGTAATTTTTAAAAGAAAACATTAATGTACTGCATATAGGATTTAAAAAAAAAGAGCAAAGAATGTGTTTCATGTCATTGAGAACTTAATTTGGGGCTAGATTTCTGATTATTTAACCCACCCCAATGTTGCAAAGTTTGTTTTGAAGAGAAGAAAGTAGAGACAGAAAAGGTGGTTATGTCCTTAAAAACAAAAATTTTGAAAGCTTTTCATTCACAAAATAATTTAATTCAATTTAAATCAAATAAGTCATGGAAACTTCAAACGTGTCCAAGTTTGGGCTTTTAGAAGGCTAGCCTCCCGTGAAATGAGAGAGGAAAGGATTTGGTATTGATGCTGAAGATTTTGGAAATCTGATTATAAGAACAAATCCGTTCCTAAATGAGGCCAGTCTTCGAATCAGTTCCATTTAAAAAACCGTTAGGTTGGACAGTGGGGATAAGATGAAGCTCCCTTTCTCTTGGAGTTTAGATGTTAGAGGTCGCCAAACAAAAAGGACTAGATTATTTAAAAAAGGACTGTGAAGAAAGTAAACTGCATGCTTAGTTACAGTATTTCAAGAAAATTATTTAACATGCTGACTTTCAACATCTTAAGTGTTTTCTCCAGGTGTGTACACAGAGCAGGGCTCTGTAAAGTGACACTGCAAATTTTTGTAGATTAATGGCTGTGTTGAAACAAGGTGGGATGGGGCAAGTTTTCCCATGGTAATGTAAAGGGCCATTCACTTGGTTGGACATTCTTTGCCAGGATGACTTGCTCACTTGCCCAAAGCCTCTCCTACAGAAATTTTGAAGTCATCACTGATTTGGTGGTAACCCCTAATAGCAGAGTGGTGAATTAATGACCAGACTTGGGTACTGAGAGTTTAGAGGAAAGAGCAACATGTTTTAATAACTTTAAAATTGTAAGGTGTGTTCCCCTCCCGCCACCCTAACTATAGTGCTGCTCATTTTGCAGGTCAGCTGCTTTTCCTGGAAGCCGTGTGGCCAAGGGGAGGAAGAATGCCTCTCAGACTTCAGCTTTGAGGAGGAAGAGTTCACAGTGCCAGAATTGGACTAGCACTAATGAATTTCCTGGAATGCTTGGCTCTGGGGCTTCCTTGGGAAGCTCTGCATCCCCTTTCACTCCTCCCCCAACCCCTGGGCTGCCAGTGTCCAGGGCCATTTAGGTTTGCAGCCCAAATCCTGCCTGGCTGCACGGAGCCAGGAGGGGCTGGGGGAGGCTAGGGAGAGGGCCCGGCCAGAGGGCACTGTCACCTGTGTGAGAGGAAGGATGGCTTGGTTTGCGCCCTGGTGACTCTGGGAAAAAGGCGCACTCAGATGGCGCAGATTGGTTCGAACCTAATAAAGATGGCGTAACTAAAGGTGTCGTAAATAAAGGGCTGGACGCGGGGCGGGGGAGGGGCGCGCGGTTGCTAACGGTGCGCGCGCGTTGCGGGCTCACATAACGGTTCGGCTCCCGCTCAGGGGCGGCGCCGGCGCCCCACTGGCCTGGGTCGCTGCGCCCGGGAGCCTCCGCATGTCATGTCCCGGCTGCGCCTCTGGTCCCCACGGCTCCTCCTTACCTGGCAACCGTTGTGGCTTTTGGTTCAGGCAGCTCAGCCTCTGGAGTGGGCCCAGGGCCCTGTCCAGTTGACCTCCGACCCCCCAGGGCTGACTGAGCCCTGGTCTTCACACTCCTCTGACCTCCCGCCCAAATTGCCCCATGCACTCACACCCCTGGCAGAGCCAGGGGGCTTTAATTACTTGACTTCCTCCTCTCCAGACCACATGTTGGCCCTGCCTCATGAGGATTTGAGTGAGACTCTGGTTCCATACCTGGACTCGGATTCAGCTGGAGAGCTGTTGGCAGAGCCAGATAAGTTTGCTATTCTACACGAGGATCTGGATGACAAGCTAACCCAGCATCAAAATCTCCCAGAAGCGGTTCCAGTGCTAGATTGGGATCAGAATCAAGCCTTGGTTCTGCCTCCTCAACACAAAAGTAAGGCTAAAACTATAGGTCTAGATCAGACTGAAAATCACCAATCATTTGAAATACTTGTTCCGCCTCTAGGTAGTAAGAGCTCAAAACCAACGAAGTTTATTGTTTCACCCTCAAACCTGAAGAAAGATCTCATTAAGCATCGACAGCTTGCCACAGTTGTTGTTGGAACTACAAGACAACTTGGAAAAAAAAATCAGGGTCTAGAAGAACTGCAGGATGATTATTTAGATTCCAGTATGGATGACTTTTATCCTGAGGAGAGCCTACCTACGGATTTTCTGGGGAGCCCAGATGAAACTCCAGAGCCCCCTGAAGCTGAAATTTCATCTCAGCAGGAGTACCACACTTCCCGACCGTTTCCCACCGAGCTGTTTGAATCTTCATCCCAACAAGAGACGCCTGAGGAAGCTGAATCTTTTTCATCCGAGGAAGAGGCCCAGGCTCAGCATCTGGAGCACACCAGCGAGGTAGAACTACCTCTACTTCAGCAGGAGTCTCTGTCTCAACCTGCAGAGACCCCCAAGGAAGTGGAAACCTCAAGCCCTCAGGAGGCCCTAGCCCAGCCTTTGGAGGTACCTAAGGAGACTGTAGTTGGGCCAGCAGCGCATCATAAAGTTCAGCAGTCACACTTGCACAATGTCACTGTTAAACCTCTGGATCTAGTGCTTACCGTGACTCCAGAAGTGACTAAAGAGGTGGAACTTTCTCCAGTCCAGCAGGGGGTCCTATCTCAACCTCCAGAGCACTTTGAGGAGGTTGAACCTCTTCCAGCCCAACAGGAGGCCCCATCTGAGTTTCCAGAGCAACAAGATGTGGTTGAAACTCCTCCAGTCCAGCCGGAGGCCCTGTCTCAACCTGCAAAGCACCCTGAGACAGTTGCATCTCCTCTGCTCCATCAAGAGACCCCAACTCAAGCTCCAGGGTTCCCTACTGAGTATGTATTCCAAGTTCCAATGAGCGATGAGGTAGTAGTTCAGCCTGGCATTCGGCATCAGGTTCATTCAAACCTGCACGATGTTGCATTTCAACCTCATGATTTGGGACTTACCATCACTCCTATGCTCATTAAGAAAACTAAATTTCCTGCAACTCAGCAGAAGCCTCCAGAGACCCTGGGGGAGGCTGAACTTTCAAGTGAGCAGGAGCAACCGGCTCAGCCTTCTGAGCTTACTGGGGAAGGTGAAGCTTTTCCAACCCAGCAGGAGACCACAGGCCAGGCCCCTGAGGAAGCTGAGCCTTCTCCAAGTGAACAAGAGCAACTAACTCAGCCTTCTGAGCCTGCTGGGGAAGTTGAACCCTCTCTCACCCAGCAGGAGACCCTGACTCAGCTGTCAGACTCTCTTGGAGTAGCTGGACCTTCTCCAGTCCTGGAGGAAGAGGCTGCTCCGTCTCCAGAGTCCCCTAATGAGGTCGAATCTTTTCCCACCCAGCAGGAGACCCAAGGTCTGTCTCCAGTGGAGACAGAATCTGCTGCAACACTGCTGGAGCAACTGACTCAACATTCAGGCATATCCAATGTCACTGTCAAACCTGCAGATCTTGAGCTTACCATAACCACAGAACCCACTCCGGTGGCAGGACTTTCTCCAAGTCAGCATATGCCTTTGGCTCAGTCCTCAGCGCCCCTTACTAATGCAGAATTTTCCGCATCCCCGCCGGAGGCCCCCACACTGCTTTCACAGTTGCCTGAGAAAGTTGAACCTTTGCCAGTTCAAGTGCCAGCTCCAGTCCCGTCTCCAGAGGCTGTTACCCAGATTACACCTTCAGAACAACAGGAGACGCTAGCTCAGAATCCACAGGCTCATGAGATTATACCTTCTCCACCCCAGCAGGAGGCCACAGCGCAGCGTCCCGAGCTCTCTAATGAAGTTACAGTTCTCTCTCCAGAGCATCATGTGACAACAGTTTCCTCTCCAGGTCAACTGCAGCGGCCCAGCGCCACTGTCAAGCCTGTGGATCTTGCACTCACCATCACTCCAGCATTCACTAATAAGGTTAAAACGTCTCCACCCCAAAAGGAAACCTCAGCTCAGTCTACAGTGTCCCCTGGGCAGTTAAAACCTTTGTCAGTCCAGCAAGAGCTTTCAAATCGGCCACTGACTGCCTCTGAAAATGAACTTTTTTTGGTCGAGCATGAGCAACCAGCTCAGCCTCCAGAGGACACCAACGATGCTGCTACTCAACCTTTAGGAGAGAATGAGGTAACAGTCTCACCTCTGGGTCCAGTGTTTCCTCATATCACTGCTAAATCCGTGGATCTGGCGGTTGTCCTAACTCCAGGCTCAACTAAAGACCTTGTACATTCTCCAGTGAAGCTGGAGAATGCTGCTCATACTCCAGATCCCCCTGGGAGGGTTGAGCTTTCTTTAGCCCAGGGGGGACACCCAGCTCAGTCTCCGGTTCCCCAGGGGAGCCCAACTGTATCTCTCAAGCCCCCCAAGGAGGTGGTGTCTTCTCCCACACAGCAGGTGCTTGAGACTCAGACATCAGAACCCCCTGCAAAGGTGGAACCACTTCCAGTCCCTCAGGGGACCCCTCCTCAGCTTCTACGGCCCCCTCAGACTGTAGGATCTTCTCCAAACCAAGAGGAGTTCCCAGCCCCACCCCTTAAAGAGACAGAACCTTCTCCAACCCAGCAGGGCGGCCCATTGCAGCCTCCAGTGCCACCTACAGAGGTTGTAGCACAAACTCTAGTGCTTTATGAGGTGACATTTTCAACACCAGGACAGGATCAGACTCATCATTCAAACTTAACCAGTGCCACAGTCAAACCTTTGGCCCAGAAGCCTGTTGTAACTCCAGAACCTTCTACACCCCTGGAGGCAACACTTCCTAATCCAGAGCAGGTTCAAGTGCAGCATCCAACCTTGACTGAGGTCACAGTTCAACCTTTGGACCTTGAACTTACCATAAAGCCAGAGCCCACCAAGGAGGAAGAACCTTCTCCAACCATGCAGGAGCTACCACCTCAGCCTGTGGAGCCACCTAAGGAGGTTGTGGCTGATTCAACTCCAGGCCAGTATCAAGCTCAGAATCCAACACTGCCCAGTGCCCCAGTTCAGCCTCTCAACCCGGAGCCTACTGTAACTCCAAAGCCTACTGTAGAAGCTGAATCTTCTACAGCTCTTCACCCCAAACCCCCTGAGGTGACGCTTCCAAATCCAGAGCAAGTTCAGTCTCAGTTGTCGGAGTTCACAGTTCAACCTTTGGACCTGGAACTTACCATAACTCCAGAATCCACGAATGAGGCTGTATCTTCTCCAGCCATGCAGGAGACCCCAGCTCAGCGTCCAGTGCAGCAAGAGGTGACTGTTCCAGTGCCAGCTCAGAGCCAACTGCTGCCCAGTGCCACAGTTCACCCATCAGGCCAGAGGCCTAACACAACTCCAGAACCTGTGACAGAGGCTGAATATTCCACAGGCCTGCAGCAGACTGCAGCTATTCCACCATACCCCGAGTTAACACTGCCACATCCAAAGCCAGTTCAGTCTCAGCGCCCAACCTTGAGCAAGGTCACCTTTCAATCTTTGGACCTGGAACTCACACTAACTCCGGAATCCACTGTGGAGGTCGAACCTTCTCCAACCGTGCAGCAGACCCAAGCTCAGCCTCCAAAACCCATTAAGGAAGTTGTAGCTCAGCCTCCATTGTATTCCGAGGTGACAGGTCCAGCACTCGAGGCGGCGTCGCCTGGCGTCACCGCTTATCACGTGAACCTGGAGCTTACCGTAACTCCAGAACCTGCTACGGTGTCCGAACATTCTGCTGCCCTGCCGCAGACCACAGCTCCTCCTCCAGAACAGCCTGAGGGGACACTTGCCCATGCAAACCTGACTGAAGTCACGCTTCAGCCTATGGACGTGGAAGTTAACGTTACCGCAGTGAATAATACGGAGACTGAGCCTCCTCCAACCCTGCAGGAGACCCCAAGTAAGGATCAAAGTCAGCCTCCAACATCACCCAGCGTCACAACTCATCCCGCTAACCTGGAGCTCACCATAACCTTGCAACCTGCTATGGGGTCTGAATATTCTACTGCCCTGCAGCAGACCACGGCTCTCCCAGAGGTGACACTTCCACCACCAAACCTGACTCAAGCCACAGTCCCAACTGTGGACCTGGGAGTTAGCATATCTCAGCAGTCCAGGCCATCTGAGATGGTTCATTTTCCTTTGACTCCATTTTCAGAACCCAAAAGTCCCCCTGTTATAAAACGTATACCAGGAAAGAAGCGACCAGTACAGAATGCCACCACAACCATCAACGTATGTAAGCTCTGTACCTGCAAAGATGAGACGCTGTCGTGTGTTGGTCTGAGCGCAAAGCAGAAGCTCCCCAGAGTCCCTGAGCCAGGGCCCAACTCCTACAATGGCACCTTCACCATCTTGTAAGAATGGCCTTTCTTTATTTGTTCTCTGCGTCCTGCCTAACATGGTAGCCTCTCTTCCAGGTTTTCCTGGGTCTTTCTCATCTCCCCAACCCACATTGACTGACTTGCTATTTTTAACCTTTTATTTGTTCTTCATTCTCCTCCTTACTATTGTTCCCTCTTCTCCAGTCTTTTACTTATAATCACCCCTATTCCTTTTCCTTCTCTATTTTTTACCCCATTATTTAATTCCTTAACATCTACTCTTCTCCCATTTTCGCTCCATCCTTTTTATAGCAACATGTCCCTCTCCCCACCTCATTGGTGGTGAAACAACAAATGGTTAAGAGTAGAGATTTCTGAGCTGAACTGCCTGGGTTTGAACCCACGTCTGTTATTTGTTAGCTTTGTGACTCAATTTCATCATCTGTAAAGAGGGAATGATGATAGTCATCTCATAGGATTGTTGTGAGATTTAGATGAGTTAATACATGTGAAGCTCTTACATCAGTGCCTAATGTATGTGGGCTTTCCTGGTGCCTCAAACGGTTAAGAATCTGCCTGCGATGCGGGAGACCCAAGTTTGATCCCTGGGTCAGGAAGGTCCCCTGGAGAAGGAAATTGCCATTTCTAGTATTCTTGCCTAGAGAATTCCATGGACAGAGGAGCCTGACAGGTTCCATGGGGTCTCAAAGAGTCAGACCCAACTGAGCGACTAACATACATAATACATGTAAAACTCTTACATCAGTGCCTAGCATATATGTTAATGTTAGCTATTATTATATTCAGTTCCTCAGTTATATCTAGAACTCATCTTTGTCCCCTGACTCTCTATGTGTAACACCCATTTTGTGCCCAACACAGGGCTAAGTACTGTGGGCACCACAGAAGTATGACATTGTCTGCAGAACGTGACAGTGATAGGTGAGAAGAAAGGGGATGTGTTTTAAAAGGGAGATAATATACAGTTAAGCATTGAAAGAGATACAGATATCTGCTGTAGTTCACCAGAACCTATAATCATTAGGGTGTGGAGGTCAGGGAAAGCTGCATGGATAAGTTAAAATCACCTGGGACTTAAAACATTGGCTGTGATTTGTTAGGGAAAAAACAGGGAGCACGGTCTGGGCAAATGTGTGCCTGCGAGGATGATCAGGACTTCATAGATCAGTCTGGCTGTAAAAAGAAGTGGGTTGGTGGTGGTGGTTTAGTAGCTAAGTCATATCTGACTCTTTTTGACCCTGTGGACTGTAGCCCACCAGGCACCTCCACCCATGGGATTTCCCAGGCAAGAATTCTGGAATGGATTGCCATTTCCTTCTCCAAGGGATCTGACCTAGGGATCAAAACCACTTCTGCATTGGCAAGTGAATTCCTTATCTCTGAGCCACCAGGGAAGCCCAAAAGAATTGGGTTAGAGAACAATGAAAGCTACAATTATGACAAACCTTGGCTCTCCTAATGGAGATGTGAAAGTGATGATATAAGATATGCGGAGCCACTGAAAGTTTTCAAGCAAGAAAGACAAATGATTAAAACAGAATTATTTTAGATTCCATATGTAGACTGATCTTGAGAGGAAAGCTTGATTCAGGGAGACCAAATAGAATGGTCTATCAAAATCTAGGGGTAAGTGAAACGGGGCTGAATTAGAGTAGTTGTGAGAGGAGTAGGAAGAAAATCATGAGAGCATGACAAAGGCAAAACCGACTAGGTGTAGTCATTGACTAGCGCTGGGGGACTTGGGTATGTGGGAAAGAGAAAAATCGCATATGTTGGTGGGGCTTCCCAGGTGGTGCTAGTGGCAAAGAACCCGCCTGCCAAAGCAGAGACATAAGAGACATGGGTTGATTCCCTGGGTTGGGAAGATCCTCTGGAGAAGGAAATGGCACCCCACTCTAGTATTCTTGCCTGGAGAATTCCATGGACAGAGGAGCCTGGCAGGTTACAGTCCATGGAGTTGCAAAGAGTTGGACACGACTGAAGCGATTTAGCATGCATGCATGATGGGGAGAATGATGGTGGTATAACAGGTGGAAATACAGCAGTTGGGAAGGAGAGCTAGTTTGAGGAAGATGAGTTCCATTTTAAACATTTAAGGTTTGATCCCTGGGTTGGGAAGATCCCCCAGAAAAGGGAATGGCTACTCACTCCAGTATTCTTGCCTGGAGAATCTCGTGAACAGAGGAGCCTGGCAGGCTATAGTCCAGAGGGTCATAAAGAGTTGGACTAAGCACACACACTGGGAAGCTGTGGGAATTAAAAATGTTTTTTTTTTTTTCTGCATTTGAATATTCCCCATAAGGTGGCCATGGTTCTTTTACATATTCTCTTCATTCTTTTCCTGCCTATTCAAGGATATGACCTATGTTTCTTCACAGAAATTTCCAAGGAAACTATATTTCTTACATTGATGAAAATATATGGAAGGCATACCGTTGGGCTGAGAAACTGTGAGTATATTCTCTCCAAATGTGAATACAAACTGCTCACTGTTTTGTAAGATCCTTCTTGGTCCAGAATTTTGAGGTCAATAGCTGTCAGAAAAGGTATTTCCCCTTTCATCTCCCAAAGCAACCTATTGATTGAAATTCTCTTTATTTTAAAAATTAAATGTGGCAGGCCCTCTTTAAAATCAGTCATTTATTTTCCATTATATGAGTATTATATGATTATATTCTCACTATGTAAAAATAACAGGTATAGTGAAAACTCTCTTTGCTCCCTAAACCCCATTCAAGCTGCTTTGAGTTTAGTATATATCCTTCCAGACTCTTTCCTATACATTTGAATACATATATATTTCCAGATAACCAAATAAGTTTGTTGTATGATTTTCTTATCTTTTTTACATAAATGAAACATCCTGCAACTTGACTCTTTCATTTCATGTTGTCTTAGATTTCTTTCATTGCTAGTACATAGAGGGTTACCCCATTCATTTCAACTCCTGTGTAATATTCCATAGTATAAATGTATCATAGTTTAATAATGCCCCTGTTGAAGGACGTCTATATGTCCAGTTTTCTTGTTGCATGCATTGCTGCAATGAGTATCCTCATACAGGCACCTGTGTGAATCTGGTTAGGTATTTCTGTAGAATAGATATCTAGAAATGGGATTGTTGGGGCGAAGACTATGTAGATACAAATTTTTCAGTTCAGTTCAGTCATTCAGTCGTGTCTGACTCTGCGACCCCATGAACCACAGCACGCCAGGCTTCCCTGTCCATCACCAACTCCCGGAGTTTACCCAAACTCATGTCCATTGAATTGGTGATGCCATCCATCCATCTCATCCTCTGTTGTCCCCTTCTCCTCCTGCCCTCAATCTTCCCCAGCATCAGGGTCTTTTCAAATGAGTCAGCTCTTTGCATCAGGTGGCCAAAATATTGGAGTTTCAGCTTCAACATCAGTCCTTCCAATGAACACCAAGGACTGATTTCCTTTAGGATGGACTGGTTGGATCTCCTTGCAGTCCAAGGGACTCTCAAGAGTCTTCTCCAACACCACAGTTCAAAAGCATCAATTCTTTGG